TAAGTGAAGTAAGTCAGACAGAAAGACAAATATCATGTGATATCACTTATATGTGGAATCTTAAAAAAAAAGACAAACTTATTTATAAAACAAAAACAGACTCACAGACATAAAAAACAAACTTAAGGTTACTGGGGGGTAAGGGGTGGGAAAAGATAAATTGGCAGTTCAAGATTTGTAGATACTGCTATATATAAAATAGATAAACAAGCTTATACTGTAGAGCACAGGGAACTATATTCAATATCTTTTAGTAGCCTATAATGAAAAAGAATATGAAAAAGAATATATATATGACTGAACTATTATGCTGTACACAAGAAATTGACATAACATTGTAAACTGACTATACACAAATATAAAAGAAAGAAAAAGAAGGAAAGAAAGAAAGAGAAAGAAAGAAAGGAAGGAAGGAGGGAAGGAAGGAAGGAAAGAAGGAAGGAAGAAAGGAAGGAAGGAAGAGGAAAAGCTCTGGGATCTAAGTTTAGGGTTGGATATTTCTCTGAGCTTCCAGGACTGGGCACAGCAGGTACTCAGTAAATGAATGGGTGACAGGTGGCTGAACTGATGGGAGGTCAGAATTCCCCAGTGGTGGTGGACCTGGGAGCAAAGAGCCTGCAGTTCAGTCCTGATCCACACTAACAAGGTGAGGAGACAGTTATAACCTCAGTTTCTTCTTGTGTAAAATGGAGACGACACCTGATAAGGTTATAAGGATTAAGTGAGAAAATGCTTATTAGTTTAGTGCTTCACACCCAGGAAGCCCAGGATATTGTGATCTTCTACTCCTCCGCAAAGGCATCTGAGGAAGAGGGAGTCTTCAGAGGTATGAAATCCACAGGTAGGAAGTCTGCTAGCCTTCCAGGCTTCTGCAGGACTCTTCCCCTTGTCCTTGAGGACAGGAACTCTTTCTTCTGGGACCCGCGATGGGATCTAGAGACAGGGGTGAAGCCTACAAGTTAGATGCCCCAATTTAAGCCTTCTTTGCACAGAACCCCAACAGAACCTTGGCCGTAGGGAGAAACAGACCCCGGCCCGAGCAGAGCAGAGGGACCCACTCGCAGGTGGGGATGCTGCTGTCTTTCAACTTTGGACTTTGCGCTGGACGGTAGGGAAGCGGTGGCCAAGGAAAGAGCTGACAGTTGAGTGAAGCCCACATGTTGACCGGAAGGCCAGAACTCTCAGAATCTCCCCGCCAGATCTGGCGACTCATTCGAGTTCTTTCAGCCCATTTGTACACTGAAACTTGTTGCACGTAGCCACCTTTCCTACAATTGGGGAACAAGGGGTCTTTCTAGCCAGCCAGATTCACTTCTCGACCAATGACCGCTTCTGGTTTAGGAAGGAGAACGTTCTGGTGTTAGATTTCTCTTGGGCCTTTCCTTCTAATAGCCGTTGTCTTCTTTTAGTTTGGCTAAAATTGATTCAGGCAGGAAAATCTTAGTGGGAATGTGAGCTCATTAGTGTATACACATATTATTTATGAAGTGTGTCTCTAAGGAGCCATTAAAATGTGGCCGCTCAGCCATAGAAATACACATAATGCAGCCCTGAGAACGTGAAGAAGCGGCTTTTTGCAAGGGAAGATTTCAATGATTGCTGAAGTGTAAGGGAGGGGAGGGAATCAGTTCAGTCAACAAGAGCTCATTCGACGCTGCATTTTCTCAGCTGAAAGGCAGCCTAATCCTCGCTAAGCCCTCCTCGCTTAATAGGTTTGAGGAGATTTCAGAAACCGGACAAATGAAGATGTTCCACTGTCTCCTTTGAGTTTCCAGAAGCCGAATCCCCGGCAGGCAGGGCAGGAGGAGAGGGCTGCTTTGGGCAGTTTCATTGGGAAAATTAATTTATGTAATGGCATAATATTCTGGCTTGAAAATTGGGAGTTAACCCTGGCAAACAAAAACTTTCAAGAAACTATGGAGACAGCCCCCGCCCCATTAATTTCCCAAGGCAGCAGAATCCCTACATCTTGAGCAAAGTACTCCGATTCATGCCTCATTTTAATCTCATCTCCGTTTTTTTCAGAAGCGGCCAAAATAATTAACCTTACCTGGAAAGAAAGAAAAACCAAACGTAAATCAGCTTGGCGTCGCCCACCTCTCCCAAAACGCCGTGGGAGTGCGGCCATTGAGGAGGGTCTCTAGGCGACTGCTCCGTAATATTTTCCTTTTTATCTGAAAAAAGACCTCTGTGGAGCCGTGAGCAGTTCCTCATGCTTTTTGTCCCCCCCGCACATTCGCCGGGTGCAGACGGTCGCAGGCATTACAGGCCGGGTTAGTGACCACTGGAGACGGAAATCGCTAATTACCGAGTCGCCTTTGATCTGCCCGGGCCGTTTGGCCTGTGACCCTGGAGGCTCCGGTG